TAATCACAGGGACACAGTGCTTCAACACCAAAGCAAATTAAGGCTTTGGCTAAACCAAGAAAGCAGCAAGCTGGTGCCAATGCAGAGCATCTCTTTTCTTGGGTTGGAGCTGGACTCTCCATTCATTGAATAGCCTAATAAGTTGACTGAATTAAATTAATTACTCGTTACCTCAAATTAATTGAGCAATGGAGTCTCCCAAAACTGGTAAATTTAGGTTCATTTAACTTGGTTGTTTTGTAGACTATACTTAAATTGTTCAATTGTTCAGTTCACTGAACTAAGTAGGTGAACAGTTGATCATTCATTCTGTTACTGTGTGTGTGTGTGTGTGTGTGTGTGTGTGTGTGTGTGTGTGTGTGTGTGTGTGTTTATTAACCCACTCACCTATTTTACATTCCAGGTGTCTGACCAGCGCCCTCTAGTGCATCTGTAGTTCTATTAGAACAGCATTTTTATTTTCATTATTCCATGGATAACAAAAAACAACAGACAGACATTTCATTTTGTTACTATGTATATATATATGAAGCAAATATAGCAACATTTCATACATAATATATATGATATAGACAAAAAACTCTTGCAGTACTTTAAATTCATGTGAAATAGTCCCTAAAAGAAAAAAAACAGGTTTTTGATTTGGATGCAATAGCAAAGTACCAAAAGGTAGGTTTGTCCTATCTGAAGAGAAAACAAGAAAACATTTTTAGGGAGGAAAGCAAACTTTTATTTTGTAAGTAAAAACCACAAAAGGACACAAAAACCTAAACAATAACAATGAAAACGTCGGAATAAAGCTACATAAAATAACCACAAATATGAACTAAAATTTGAACACTTCAGAATAAATATCAGATAATTAAGCTCTGACTTCTGTGCCACGTTTTTCTTGCAAAACTGTCTTCAGCAGTGCATAGATTTTAATGGCTTTAATACTTTAATTTTAACAGCTTTGTTAAGAGAGATTTACAGCATAAGCCTCCTGTAATGGAAATAAGTAGCATTAAGAAAGTGAAGCTTTAAGCTTAACACAAAACAACCAAAGATGAACAAAGAGAATGGAATAATTAATTCCTCCAAAAATGTAAAATGTTAAATTACCACAATTTACTTACAGTTGAAGTCAGAATTTTTAGCCCCCCTTTGAATTTTGTTTTTCTCTTTTAAATATTTCCAAAATTATGTTTAAAAAGATCAAGAAAATTTTAACAAAAAGTCCTATAATATTTTTTTCTTCTGGAGAAATTTTTATTTGTTTTATTTTGGGTAGAATAAAAGCATTTTTTTTATTATTATTTAAAAGTCACCCTGTATAAAAGTGTCTTAATAAAAGTCTAGTCAAATTTTATTTACTGTCATCATGGAAAAGATAAAATAATTCAGTTATTTGAAATGAGTTGTTAAAACTATTATGTTTAGAAATGTGTTCAAATAAATATTTTCGTTAAAAAAGAAAAAAGAATAAAACAAACAGGGGAGCTAATAATTCGGGGGGGCTAGTAATTCTGACTTCAACTGTACATTCATGTTGTTCTAAACCTTCCATGAAACTCAAAATTGGACATATTTACTGTGTTAGGGCACATAGCTATTCCTGAGGATAATAACTCATGCAAATCAATCCAAAGAAAAACAACTAGCTTTTTAATCAATATCTGAAACTTTGCTTTCACTCTGGAATGGCATTTCACTTTGATGCCCTGAGTTTGATGATATGTACATCCTATACTTAAGCACTCATCCCCAGCTAAAATGAGTGAATAAAACACTCAAAAAGTAGAGTCTGTGACTTCAAATTTAAGCAGAATATATGCACTGCAGAATATTATTTACAGTCAAATGTAGACATGATTGGTTATGACCTTTTTTAAGCACCATGAATGAGTCACAAATCTAGAATCATTGTTGATTCTAATAAATCAGTTACTATGCAGATGTGTGACTGAAGTTAAACAGCATCAAGTTCCACTTTCACTGTTAAGAATAGTGTGGACTAGGGCTGTGCGATAAATCGATATCTATTTGCAATTGCTATTTGAAATGTTGCGATTAGTTAAAAGCAAGAGGCTACGTTATGAAATATTTATGTATTATTTAATTTTCCCCGCTCAGAGCAAATGTGTGACTGCCATCTGTGTGTGACAGTCTTACTAGCCAGTTGAGTGAGCAGACTTTCATTCTGCCCAATCAGAATTGTGCAACCTAACTATGTGGAACGTTTACAAAAACAAAAAAAAAAAACAATTTAAAAAAAACAAAAACAAACAGGAACATGCGGACAAGTGGGATGATGGCGTCTGCTGCTTCAGAAGCATTAATAGACTAAATATTATCAAAGAAAAACAGGACACTGTTAATATGGGAATATCTTGGTTTCAATTTCACAGAAACAGAACAAGAACAGGTCATTTTTAAGAGCTGACACAGAATTGATGCCACGGCTTAGACATTACTGAGCTGAAGCTTGACTACAAAAATTAAATTGCAAATCAAATCGTAATATCTGTCAAAAAATAATACATACATATATATATATATACATATATTTATTTTTATTTTTTTTATTTGCAATTAGATATTTTCCCCAAATCGCGCAGCTCTAGTGTGGACATTCTTCATATTCTAACACATTCTCTTGTGTTACACACAGTGCTTGACATAGCAGATTTCCAACATTACTAGCCACTTAACATTTTCACTAGCCACAATTCTGTTGTTGGTAAAAACATATTTTATATTCATAAATATGGCATGCTACATTAACTTTATATATATTTTGTTATGTCCACATGCCTCCTCATTTATTTCACTTTTTGTGTGTGTTTTGCATGAGCTTGCTTAAAGTGTATGAGCAAATGTGTTGTCGCATTTCAATTCGACTTTTTAGGGCTCAGAATTAGGGATTTACCAAATTTAACAACACCAAAAATAAATAATTATTTATTAGCCACAAATTTTAAATTAGAGGTGTCAAAACAAGCAAAATGTAGCTGTATACATGCACTATTTCATCCAACAAAACCTTTCTTTAAAAAAATTGACAATTAAAAAGAATTATTGTCTTGTATCTAATATATGCACAGCAATCTGTCCTGACTAAAGGTTCCAGATCACCAGTTAACTACACATAAATTAGCGCTGCTCGATTATGGGAAAATCATAATCACGATTATTTTGGTAATAGATGTAATCACAATTATTTCAAACGATTATTAGTGGAAGTCAAAATGATTAGTCCTCATGTAATTTATTTTTTTAAATAAATATTTCCCAAATGATGTTTAACAGACCAAGGAATTTTTCACAGTATTTCCTATAATATTTTTTCTTCTGGAGAAAGGCTTATTTGTTTTTATTTTGGCTAGAATAAAAGCAGGATTAAATATTTTGAAACTTATTTTAAGGTCAACATTATTAGCCTCCCTAAACAACATTTTTTTGATTGTCTGCAGAACAAACTACTATTATACAATGACTTGCCTAATAACCCTAATTAACCCTTTGAATCATACTTTAATCTAAATGCTTGTATTCAGAAAAAAATCTAGTAAAATATTATGTACTGTCATCAAGCAAAGATAAAATAAATCAGTTATTAGAAATGAGTTATTAAATCTATTATGTTTAATAATGTGTTGAAAATCTTCTTTCCATTTAACTATTAATTGGGGGGAAAGGGTTGTTAATAATTAAGGAGGGCTAATAAATCTGACTTCAGCTGTATATATACAGTTATTGTCCTCACTGTAAATAAATAAAGAGAAATAAATACAATAGAATAAAAATATGAAACAAACTGTGCTTTAGGCATATTCACTGTAAGGAAAAAAAAAACTTTAGCTACAGCAGTCTTTCAGTCAAGAGCAGTGAGGGATTTTTTTCTTTCGATATTTGATTAATAATAAAAACAGTCAAAAGCAGGAATATTGCGTGCTGTCACTTTAAGAGCAGTTCAACAGCATGCGCTCTTTTTCGCGCTTTTAAAAACATGAATGATTTGAATGTACATCAATAAAGGATGCGCATCCCATGCAGCAAAAGATACATTACAGTACTTGCTTTTAGTCATTTTCACGTGGAACTGAGCTTTGCAGAGCAACAAACGTGTACAACTGGAAAGAGGGCGGTATATAATGCAATAACCGTTTAAACTCTATTGATGTTTTTTCATTATCGTTAGAAGCCAAAATCGAAATGGAATCTTCGATTAAATGCACAGCCCTAAAATAAATGGGGAGTTAATCTCATATTAAAGCAATGTTATTGTAAAATAAATTAAACTATTAAACTATATTAACAAAAATAACTGTAGCAAAAGAAAACAGGTAACAAAAATACTGTGTGTGATAATGATCACTTGAAGGATGATCACGTGCACAGGGTTTATGTTAGCCCTGTTAATAATCTGTTCAAATAATAATTAAAGCGAAAGCAGCAACCGCTGCTGCTTACAAAAGTATATATTTATTTTTTTCAAATCTTGAGCTCTTGTGAGCAGCAGGACTGTAGGTGCATGATCATCGCTTTTTGTCCAGTCTATTTGAAAGAGAACCGATAGCACCAGTTGCGTTTCCTCTAGGCACGGTTACTTCACGCAAGTAAATGGGAACGCGCACACATCACATCACCTGTGTGCACAAGTGACCAACTTCTCATTCAGTATTTACCTGCTTTCTTTGCTTGTGTGAAACAATTATTTTCGATTCTAAGCTCAAATTTGCACAAATATTGGGCCATCTTTATTGTCGAACACTGCTTTTAAGAAAACTACCATTTAAAAATAATTTCCAATGAGCCATAGTGGCTAGTGGGAGTGTTTATCTAACCCGACACAGCTGAAATGTACCTGCATTTGGCGGGATGGTGGTTGTTAATGTCAAGCCTTGGTTACTCAACGAAAAGGTATGCAGGTTTAGAACAACATGTAAATGAGTAAAGGATTACAGCGTTTCTGGTTACACTATTACTTTAATTATAAAAAAAGCTGAAGTAAATATCTATGATTCTCCTTACTCTGTTTTGTCTTTGCATGTCAATAATCTCTAAAACATACATGTATAAATTCTCACAATGTTAGCTGAACTTGTACCACAGACCAAATGTAAGCTGTCAAAGCTGTGGCCAAATCATCCTAAGCTGTACAGTTTGACCCAAACCAACTCACACCTCAGGAATAGAATGATCCATGAGTGACTTTACAATACTACTGGACATCCTGCAATGAGAAAAGAGAAAATGAGGAATGAAAAAAAAAAGATATCTATGTAGAGTTAATAGTTAATGCACCCAAGGTTTACTTTGCATACCTTTTCATCATGTGTTCAAAGATGACCACTGGCATTACGGTTATCGTGACAACGCCCCCGCTAGAATTAAGAATGTCCATGATTTGCGTGTCCTGATAAAACAGAAAAAAGCAAAGTAGCTTAAATCAAATCTTACACCTTAACTGCTGTTTTTAAAAATAAGAAAAAAGTACAATATGAATGTCATTTACCTTTAGTCCAATGATGTTCTGACCATTGATCTCACAGATTTGATGATCAGTAAGCAGGCCGTTGCGTGCAGATGAGCTGTCCTTTACTATTGAGGTGATCCGACCTTTTCTAAAAATAAAGCCAAGCTGCCCGTTCATGTCCTTGTGAAGGGTAACAGTTCGCTCCAGTGGTCTGCAAACAATGACAGATCATGCACATTCATGTAAGATCATAAAAATGCTTCATTATTTACTAGGTTAATTACAGTGCCTGTTTTAGGGTAATGGCATATTATACAGGGCTTGCAAAACCCGTTAGACCGACATCCCATGGCTATTGTTTTTCCAGTCAGGCAAGTAGATTTAGTAAATTCTATTTAGTTTAATAGCTTGTTTTACACTGATATGTTTGGCACTGAAGTATGTATAAAATATTCATTTCTTACCTCAGAATTATACAGAGTTATAGTACAGTTTAACCTCTTAAGGCCTGTAAGCTGTTTTTTACATGCATTTTTTATTTCACATTGCTATTTGGGCTTATTGGAACCTAATTAGAATAAAAATCTTCGTATCATCTTTTAGAGAAAAATGTTGTCCATGTGAACTTGTGGTTTGAATTTACATAAAACATAATTGTTCCTGAATGTTTTTGATGCATATATAACCTAGAATTTTTTTTACTTGCTTTGACTTTCAGAGAGTAAAAACAAAATATTTTCCCAACATTTTTGGACATTTAAAATTAGGATTTGGGACATTTCATATGACACTGTATGTCTGTAATGAAATATAAAACATTCAAATTTTATTTTTAAATAACCACTTAAGAGCTAAAATGTGCTGTCCACGTATGTGGACACTCAAGCTCTAGGAAGTTAATAGGACATGTCTTTCTTTGAGTTTCTTTGACTTTCTTTGAAAATATATATCTTCATGTAATTATTCAATATTAAGATCAAAATACGCTAGTTAGTCATTCAGACTGTCACAAAAATTACACACGAATGAATGCTATGAAAACATTCCACTATTTGGTATGATTGCAATTATACCAGAAGTGAACCGGACCAGAGTTTGCGTGAACCGTACCCAAGACCACCTTTTCAGGCAGACTTCCGGTTCACGGGTGTGCACCCGAGTTCAGATGACACATTCACACTAGCTAAACGTACCGTACTCTGATGTCAAACGAACCTGGGTGAGAACCAAAAGTGCTAGTGTGCAAACAACCTTATGCCAAGACTAAAGAATCTCAAAAGGGACTTTGACTTAAAGGGATAGTGATCCTAAAATGAAAATGGAACCACTATTTACTCCTTTACTCCCTAACATTTTTTTTGGTTATTTAAAAAAGTATTAATTAATTAAAACTAAATAGAAAAATAATACAATTTCAGTTATTTAAAAATAAACATATAGCCTATAACAAATGCCATTATATGTTAAATCATTAACTGAAAATAAATATGATATGTTGTACAAGATTTCTAGATTTAGCAATATCAGCAACAGTAGCAGAGATCATTTTTCGTATTGAATATTTAGCTTTTTTTTAGCTGCTTCTTTCTTGATTTTTATTTTTATTACAATTACGGGTTCTAAAATATGTTAAAACCAATGTTTTTTGCAGTAATATTTTTGTATGAATGGAAAGCAAATGATATTTGTCTCCATTTTTTGCTGATCCAAAAAATTGTCTGATCCGTGATGTACAAAACATAGTGTGATCTAAACTGTAAGATTTGTGATCCGTAACACCACTACTGATAACCACAGTCTAAATTTTGGTATATTTACGGTCTGAATTTAAAATATTGGTCAATGACAACACATACAATGTTTGCACTGCTGGATAGTTGTGAGTCTAAAACTACATAACACGCACTCCTGTGTCTGATCTCTTCATGAATTATTCAGATTTAATGACCTGAACCTCATAAATAAAACAACATTGTGCAGAGTATTTGAAACCTGACGAACTGCTCCGTGTAATATGTGTTTGTGCATGTGTGTATGTGTGTTTTTCATACCTGTCTCGCACAGCCAAAGTAATTCTCTCTGGATTGGAGTTCTTGAGCACCTTGTGTGCATAATCGCTATTCCAGCCTGCACATGATTTGCCATTGATCTCCAGAATCTGATCACCAAAGCGCAGTCCTGCCAGAGCTGCAGCTGTGTTGGCCTGCACTAACTGCACAAACACACCCTGAAACACATATTTGAGCACTGAGAATCAGAGAATATCATTATACTTAATGATACTAATAAAAAAGAAAACAATGAACACTTACACAATTTTAAATCAAAATATTATCATTAAAAAACACTTTAAAATGTCCATACATCACCTCCAACTTAACAAGCAAATAGCAATATTGTTATAGATTATCTAGGGCTGTGCAATATGATAATACACTACACTAATACACTAACCAGCCACTTTATTATGTTCACCTTACTAGTACCAGGTTGGACCCGTTTTGCCATCAAAACTTCGTTAATCCTTCATGTGGCATAAATTCAACAGGGTACTGGAAATATTGCTCAGATATTTTGATCATATTGACATGATAGCATCATGCAGTTGCTGTAGATTTGTAAGCTGCACATCCATAATTCGAATCTCCCGTTTAACCACATCCCAAAGGTGCTATATTGGATTAGGTTCTGGTGACTTTAATGGCCATTTGAGTAGTGTGAACTCGTTGTCATGTTCAAGAATGACAATGCTTTATGACAGTGCGTTATGCTGTTGGAAGAGGCCATCGGAAGATGGGTACAATGTGGTCATAAAGGGATGACAGGGTCGCCAACAATACTCAGGTAAGCTGTGGTGTTGACACGATGCTCAAATGGTACTAATGGACCCCAAGTGTGCCAAGAAAACATCCTCACACCATTACAACACCAGCTGTCCACCACTATCCATGCTTTCATGTTATTGATGTTAAATTCTGACCCTCCATTCAAATGTGGCAGCAGAAATCGAGACTCATCAGACCAGGGAACATTTTTCCTATCTTGTATTGTGCAATTTTGGTGAGCCTGTGTGAATTGTAGCCTCAGCTTCCTGATCTTAGCTGACAGGAGTGGCACCCGGTGTGGTCTTCTGCTGCTGTAGCCCATCTGCCTCAAGGTTGGACGTGTTGTGTTCAGAGAGGCTCTTCTGCATATCTCCGTTGTAATGAGTGGTTATTTGATATTGATTTAATATATGACAAAAGTCTATCATTTCATATTATGCTCTATTTTTTATATGGTGGCTTCACATTGTTTATGGTAATACTATAACAAAATTATAGTAGGTCAATATCAACTTATAGGTGGACATCCATAACAAGTAGACATGAATAACATGTCAGATCAGAAATTTAAAAAGTACAATGTTTATTTTGCATTTTATGTACCAATATTATATGCTGGGTCTGTAATAATTACATTTTAAGTAGTGTTTTATATTTTATTAATATGTATTTTTTATTTCAACATTTTTAATTAAACATTTGCCCTGAAGTTCTATATATAGTGAGAAATATGATCACATGAATAAGTAAAGATTGTAAATTTTTTTTTTTAAATGTAGAAATTATTAAAAAGTACAGAAATTAAGGGTGATGAGGTGGATCAGTGGTTAGCACACACAGCAAGAAGGTCGCTGGTTCGAGTCTTGGTTGGGTCATTTAGCATTTCTGTGTGGAGTTTGCATGTTCTCCCCATGTTGGCGTAGGTTTCCTCTGGGTGCTCTGTTTTCCCCCACAGTTCAAAGACATGTGGTCCAGATGAATTGAATAAACTAAATTGGCCATAGTGTATGAGTGTGTATGGATGTTGCTGCTGGGTTGCTGCTGGAAGGGCATACTCTGTGTAAAACATATCCTGGATAAGTTGGTGGTTCATTCCGCTGTGGCGACCCCTGAGTAATAAAGGGACTAAGCTGAAGGCAAATGAATGAATGAATATTTAAATTAACTAATTAAATTGACAGAAGAAAGCACTATATTGTGGTGACATTTTCGTCATATCCCCCAGCCCTTAGATTATCTGCTCTTTTTTTCTTTATAAAACATCTTATATTTGAATAATTTATGACATTAATAAATACATTATCTATGGCTTTGAGGCGGAGGCCAATTTTTCCATCCATGTCTTTGCACAGCACCACCTCCCGTACACCCTGCCGAATCTCCGCTCTTTTCACTCCCAGGTCACTTCCTGTTATAGGTGCTGCTGCCCAGCTCATTCCAGAGGTACACACGCTGAGAGCCTAAAAATAAAGCAATATTACTATACTGCAAAAATCATTTGGTTACCTAAAATGTTAAATCATGTGATTTAGTCAAATCAAAATTATTATTTAAAGGGTTAGTTACCCTAAATAAATAAAATTATATATATAGTTCATATAGTTCCACGTGAACTGTTTTGATAGTGTTTTTGGTATCTTTCTGGACTTTGAAAGAGTCAGGACCATTGCTGTCTCTGGAGGACCAGGGAGCTCTGGGATTTCATCAGAAATATTTTAATTTGTGTTCTGAAGATAAATGAAGATGTCAGGGGGTTGAAACTACATACTTTTTTTGGTAAACTACCCTTTTAAAGTAATTTTAATTAAAAAAAATAATCATATCAGTGAATACAGCTTCTTAAAGCTACTTCTGAAAAGTTTATTTTCACACCAACATGTAGTGCTGTGCCTGTTTCAGTAAGGAGGCTTAACCAGTGTGGATTTTAAACGCGAACTCTGAGTTGATTTAGCGATTCGAGAGATTAAAAACTGAGTTTTATGTTTCAGAACAGCTGATCTGAGTTGTCAATCAACTCTAAGTAGACTAATTCAGAGTTAAGTGCACACAGTGAGACTATAAAAAGGCATTATCAATGCAGCTCAGATATTACAAGTTACATCTGAAAAAAGAGATCAGCATTTCTTTCTCCAGCTGAACTCGATGTACTCATGCAAAGTTATAGCAAATATGACCATATATTTAAAAAAGCAACTCCACTGCATCAGCGAATAAGAGACAGTTAACGTGGGAAAACAGCTGCTCAAGTAATAATCACCTTAATCTAATAAAAGTACATGTCCCTGCTGAAGGACAGTGAATTTAAGCTAATTATTTATTTTTTGCATTATCAAAAGTAAACCTTAAAACTATGGTATTGAATCTATTTGTACATTTCCCAAAAAGGACAAGCCATTTTTGTAACTTTGTTCTTTATGGGACTGAAATGTAGGCAATGAATAACTAAGGCTAAAGTGAGAAATACCGCTTCATCTTTAAAAAATGGGAGAAGACCGACAGAAACTCAAAAGTTTAGAGAATAAAACCTGCTTATAACCAGGTTAGGTTGTAATGTATTTCACGACTGAAAATATCATAAAAAAAACTGTAGGTTGAACTCTTTGTAATCAGACTCTGGAATAGACTAGTCAACTGAGCCAAGTTTAAAACAATCATATTAAAAACTGCACTAAAGTCCAGCTACTTTAAATGATTAATTCTTTCTCTTTTTTCAATATATTGTAGCTAAGATGCAATTAAAATGTTTCTGTGTGGCTTTCACAGGCAAACACACTCACCCCAGCAGTCTGGTCGGCGATTGACGAGGAAAATGTTTGTAGGGCATCTGAACTGAGGTTTAGACCCATAAACTCATTCAGCTCAGGGTACAACCTGCTACTGGTACCTAACAACAGAAACAAGCAACATAAAAAAGGTCTAGCTTTATTTGCTACATAATGCAAGCAAAATAATTCCTTCTGATATCAGCACAAAGTAACAGATAAAAACTGTTAGCAATCTTTAAGCTATATCTTAAAACTATAGCAAAATATTAGAGCAGAGCAAAAGCTTAAGACTAAGGACATTGTCATTTGTCAACATGGCTCTTGCAAATGTAGTTTCCACATCTTTTCCATTCCTGAAAATGTTGATTTTAAAATTATATGTTTACCCAAAATTTAACATTTTGTCATCATTTACCCACCCTTCACTTTTAACAAATCCACTTAAGATTCTTTTTTCTGTTGAACACAAAAAAAGGCATTAGGCCGAAACATTACTTTTTCCCACTGACAGCCAAGTCATGGGCTGAGTTAATGATCTTTTAATTGGCTAAAAAGCAGGTAGTTGTAGTGCCATAAGATTACTAACTGATAAGAGACATTCCTGAGCTGTGCTTCTACAAAATTCCTTTAGAGAAAAAACCAGAAAGAAGAAATTTATAAACTTGTGCCGAATGGAAGCATCATTGACCCATAACAATAGATGGTACATATAACTGTAAGTACATTTGTATACTTTTTATACAGTTTCTATTTAAATTTGCAGGTTAAGTGCAATTAAAGTATAAATTCAAATGCAAAGTCAAAGTATAAATAACAGAAGTGAATAAATAGAGCAAATATTAATATAAAAAAATGACATTAAATAGGTGTCACAGTGGCGCAGTGGGTAGCATGATCGCCTCACAGCAAGAATATCTATAGTTCGAGCCCCGGCTGGGTCAGTTGGCATTTCTGTGTGGAGTTTGCATGTTCTACCCGTGTTGGTGTGGCACCTCCAGGTGCTCTAGTTTCCCCCACAGTCCAAACAAATGCACTGTAAGTAAATTAAATAAGCTAAATTGGCCATAGTGTATGTGTGTGAAAGAGTGTGTATGAGTGCTGCGTAAAAACATATGCTGGATAAGTTGGTGGTTCATTCCACTGTGGCGACCCCTGAGCAGGGCCGGATAACCAATGGGCCTTATGGGCACAGGCCCAGGGGCCCTTTCGCATTTAGGGCCCCTGCGATGGCGGAGAAAAAAAAAAGACAATTTCGAAGTGTCTTTTTAGGCTAATTGCAAATAGCGCACCTAGTTGGAATAATCGATTCACGGTTTACGCCCATTAATGCCTATTTGACAGAGACAACATGAGTAAAGAGCTACTTAGCATTACAGTGTGAGTGGCGTACCTCGTAATGTGCACAGTAACATCTTTTGATGAGATTGGTCATCAACCTGATTTGAATCCACCATCAGCTGAACTCATGCTACTTTTTTTCTCTCCATTACATATCAGATTAAAAATATATTTATGTTTAACAGGAAGGAAACATTTTTAAAAAATAATGCAAATGTGATATAAAGTCACAAGTGCCTCGTGGGTCTTTATTAATGTTTAGCCTTAATAAAGGTGCCTCCCTCTCTGTAAAAACTATATTGCTCAGACAACTGTTTTTCTTCTGAGCAAAAAATCGCTATTATATATAACTATTATTATTATTATTATTATATTTAATTGTCTTTCTTTCTTTTACTAAACAGAATGCTGTAATTGGTCAAGAGCGGAAACCAGGCACGTGCACACATAGGGCTCAACCTGTGCAGTGCACATGCCCTTTTTTGTCTTGGATAGAAAGTGCCCTTTCAGAATGATCTGAAGTGCCCCTGTGACACACACATACATATATATATATATATATATATATATATATATATATATATATATATATATATATATATATATATATATATATATATATATATAATATATATAGTGCTGTTTTAGTGAACTTGAACAAGTATACTAAAAAACATTCATTTTCACTAGTTTTATTAGTATTTTTATTCAATGCTTTGGAAAATAAGTTAAATCTTTGTAGACTATAAATACATATGTACTATCATTTATTTAAATATGTGAGCAACAAATTATAAATTCATTTTATTTAAAAATTATTATATTATTCTTATTTTTTTAATTAAACTATAGGGGTGCGGCCAGATAGGGGGCCTTACAAGATATGTGCCCAGGGGCCCCTGAGTTCTTGATCCGGGCCTGCCCCTGACTAATAAAAGGACTAAACTGAAAAGAAAATGAATGAATGAATAAATGAATGAATGACACCAAATATAATAGCAGAAACTTACAAGCTATAATTCTGTCACTAGTAATATCCAAAAGATAGAAATGAACATCACCGTATTGTAGCTCTGATAGGGACACAAGTGTTTTAATTGAAAGAAAAACTGGTGCAGGTGTAGTATATGGACCGCATGTGCCCACAGTTTACAGTCTGTGATCATATCTCTGTTTTGTTTAGTTTTATTTTGTTGATATGTGATTCAGATATTCATAGTAACTTAAAATAGATAGAAATATGTTATAGTAAAATAGTTTTTCCTGCATTTCTACGGAGATTCCAAAATACAGTAGCTGCCAATTTGGCTCATTGTTTTTTTGCTCATGCAGAGGTGGATTTAGTGATTTAGGGGCCTAAAGCAATTTCAGCCATGGGGCCCAAATCCTGAAATGCACTCTTTCTACTATGTTATAATTTTATATTATTTATGTTATTTATTGTGCTGTTTTTTATGTCACTTAATCTTCTTTTCTATATTTTATCCTAATGCAAGCTCTACATTTTAAATTATTATTTTTTTAATAGATTTATAACTAAAAATAATAAGGATATATTTTTTTATAAATTAGACTGCTAAACTGCTCCATGATTGGGGTGGTGGATATTTTATAGTATAATCTTATAATGACATAATATTACATTATTCAAATAATATTATCTTTTATTGCATATTAAATAATATTTAATGATGTAAAAATGTATTTGTTTGACTCTCACTTTACAAAATATGATAGAAAACAATGTTATACATAGTTTATAGGTATAATTTACTGTGGGCCCTCAGATGTCCTGGGGTTAAGTGGCTGTTTACCTTGCCTATTGGTTAAATCCACCCCTGGGCACATGTCATATGACTGAAAACTATCAATAGTTCCCAGTTTATATGATAACATTCTTATTTCCAACAGAGGAAAAACTGATAAAGGTTTGAATCCACATTAGAGTAAGTAAATAGTAAGTACATTTTATTTTTTGGGTGAACTATCTATTAATATCTGATTGTTCAAGTTTGTGAGAACACTGCAGTAAAGTGTGGCTGGACGTAGCTACTGATGATCTAAGCCTCTTTCCCATCACAGACGTTGAAATAATGCATACAGAACATATTGTTACCTGTTTGTTCAGCTTTTGAATCATAGTAGGTACTGGGTTCATTCTGGTCACTGGAAGGTTCGGGGAGAGGTAAAGCTTTTGATGGACTCGCAGTTGGAGTGTTGTGTGCCTTGAGAGAAAAATTAAAATAAAAGTTGTATATTGATTATGTAAAATAGCCTAAGTCATGCTGTTTCTTTTAAAAAAATACACAAATGCGACCAACCTGTATGAATTTATCCACCTTCATGTCTTCTAGAGATGGATAGAGTGACATTTTGGCTAATTCTGTTTGAAGCACACCCGGATCGATGTCCTGCAGAAATTCTGAGACACACGGTTGGGTTAGCTCGTGTTACAAGAGAAAATATACCATTTAAACGCGTAAAGTAAGTCATAAACAAATGCGAATAACTATGTGTAAACTATATCCACTTGTTTATTTATTTATAGACTGCATTTCTTTTATCTCATCAAGAGATTCGGCGCAACACAGTCGCATAATACGTCACAATCTTGCAGACGTCAAACTGTTATTTTCGATTTGGAAAGACATAAGACGACAAATATGCTATAGTGGTCAATCATATCTGCAATAAAGTCTAAAGAGAACCTAATAAAAATACTGAATAATTCAGCTACTACATCAGTAGCCATACATCCTTGCTAGGAGTGTGACAGATAAACATTAGCGCGTTTTCTGACGCTCTGTGAAGATGCGGCCAGTATGATGCGCACTCACCTTGACGATGCAGATGCTCACGCGCGTCAATAAGCTGTATTTTGCGCTTGTCGATGCAGTTTATGAAGTAGCAAATGTTTGACAGCTGCTTTAGCTCGCTGGATATCAGAAAGAGTGATGTCCGTTGGTGTCCTGGATGAGGAAAATGTACTAGAGCTCATGTCATCACATCGCAGCAGAGCCAGAGCGCCCTCTAGCTAATGAAACACTAACCGCAGAATTCAAAGAGCAAAATAAAAACAAAAAAGAAAAACAAATAATAAAAAAATTTATGTCAACACATTATAAATGAACTAAACACTTTCTGACCGCAACAGTTTTTTTAAATCACATGTTTTTCTTGAGTTTTATTTATGTGGTGATGTCTGATGCACTCTTTTTTGTCTTATTCCTTTTGTGTGTGTGTGTGTGTGTGTGTGTGTATACTTATACATTGTTGTGAGGATGTTTAATGAGCTTTTATTAGCTTTATATTTAAATACAAACATGTATTCAAATGCAAACATGTTAAAACAGAATATATATTTTTATACACACACACACACACACACACACACACACACACACACACACACACACACACACACACACACACACATATACACACACACACACACATATACGCACACACACACATATACGCGCGCACACACACACACACACACACACACACACACACACACACACACACACACACACACACACACACACATATATATATATATATATATATATATATATATATATATATATATATATATATATATATATATATGAATAGATATAAATATTTGCAGAGATGGGAGGGGTGTACTCACTTTTGTGACATACTGTGTGTGTGTATATATAATTTTTGTGTGTGTGTGTGTGTGTGTCTGTTAAAGAAATGTGTATATCCTCTATTGTAGACGGACACATTGCTCATAATCATGTCATACCAGTAATGAACAGCAGATGGCCTAGGTGTCCTACTAATCCACATACTGTCCTAAAATTACAGATTTTGTGCACAGAAAATTTCTGAAATTAATTTATTCTGTGTTTATATGGTTCACGGTATGTAAACCACAAAAAAAGTGTTGTGTGTTTGCACAAATAAAACTCATTTTAATATCTCATATATAGTAAACATTTGAAGTGGAACCTTTCATCAAAGTTGCCTTAAAACTATTAAACAACATCCATTCTTGCCTTAGGACAATTTTAAAAAACATTCTTATTCCACTTCAAATGTTCAAAAAACATCATGTAGTTCACTTTGTCATGCTGTTTCTTTATTAATTGTGTATTTAAAAAAAGTAAAAAAAACATTTTAATATAAAATTAATAATACATATATTATATATTTCAATAATACCAATATATAGAATTTTAATCATGTTTTGTATACATGAAAAACAAAATAACTTATTTGGATTCATTAAAAATACTTAGGCACATTCTTTAGAAATAATAGTAGCAGGTTTGTCCACAATGAGTTTGCAACATGAAGAGTATTGCTTTTTTTCTTTCTTGTCTATCATACCATACCTTTTATAAAATAATGCATTTTATTAATTTTCTGAATGACTCTGAGACACTGAAGTAGTGTAATGACAAAGCTTTAGACACAAGAATAAATAATATTTTAAACATGAAACATTTTCTACATAAATGTATTTTCTGCATAAATAATAAAACCACTGCCTTCATGCCTTCTTCATCTAGGAGGGCTTTTTTTATTTATTCATGACAACTTACTTTTGTATAATGTTGTTATTAATATTATGAGTATTCATATTATATGCATATTTATATTTGCTTTAATAAAAAAGCTTAGATTTGTCCACCTGTCAGGTTTTGGACCATATGGGGATAGCATGTATATTTGGATATAATTGAATTTGTTTTTTTAAACACACTTCATTAGCATTGTTCATTTATTCGTTTGCTGGAAAAGATAAAGTGAAAGCAAAAGCCGAATGAAGGAGGCTCATTCTTTATTCTCGCACTGCAGATGATCTGTTTAACTGTTCTTCTCACTAGTGAAGTTCTTAGTTTTTCCACTTATAAAGTACAACATGTAAATAGCAAATGCGTTGTGGCACGATGCAACTGACTCTTAAAGGGAATAAGACTGATTGTTTTAATGCACGTTATGGTCAAAACACACCCATAACTCATCAACAGAATAAGCTCAACCCTGTTAGACCATGCGCTGGGCCGCAGAGCATATTTTTCTGTGCTTAAAATAGCAAGTACATTCGGACCTGCCCTTAACGCTTTTACACCATGCACTTCAGACTTTGCTAGTTTTATACTGATTGCTTTATTGAACAATGTTTGTTTTCAACATGCATGTGCTGCATTTAAAAGTAGATGCTTTAAGCTTTCTATATATATATATATATATATATATATATATATATATATATATATATATATATGTCTCATGTCTAGGGTTGTTTCAGTGCATTTTATTGACGCATTTCTAAAAATAGTTTGCAGCGATAGAAAAGAGAAAATGCCTACACTGTTTATTTTCCTTATTTTACAAAAGCACAGTTGTAAATTGTTGTTATTGTGAGCGTACACAAAAGAAGTAGACACCTGACTTATTGGATTGATGTATTGCTCTTATCTGTATGATCAAAACTGAAAGTATAATTTTAGTTTTTTTCTGCGTTATTAGGAGAAGACACCCTAAAACGCGTGGGCCTTCTTGGTTGGTTGCTGACCCCAGAGGGTTAATGGAAAATGTAACTGACTCAGATATTTTCCAAAAAAATTTTATTTAGTTGCTTTCAGGCAGTATATTGTTGTGTAACTGAATTATTAGGCCCATTTAAGCAAAATGTGTAATAAAATAATTTTGGTTATAAAAGAAAGTCTTGTAGAAACAACCAATTGAATCACTATTTAAAATAGAAAAGATTTCCATTCCACTTTTTATCTATAGGCAATAATATCATGGTCCATGTGTATAATTGATGTCAGAATTATTAGCCTTCCTGAATTACTAGCCCTCCTCAAATTCTGCTTAATGGAAAGAATAGTTTTTCATTAGCCATAATGACAGTATATAATAATTGACAAGATAATTTCAAGATACTCTGCAATTTAAAGGCTTAACTAGATTAATTAGGCAGGTTAGCATTCACGACCCCTACACTGAGCATGATTTCCGTGAACCCCCACTGGCATAATAGTGGTTAAGTAAAAATATTGCTTAAGGGGGCTAATAATATTGACCTTAAAATGTTATTATTTTTATTAATAGCAGCTTATATTCTACCTAAAATAAAACAAATAAAACTTTATCCAGGAGAAAAATTATTATGGTAAACACTGTGAAAATATCCTTGCTTTGCTAAACATAATTTGGTAACTATATGATCTTCTTTCATTTTGTATCTTTATGCTCATTCCCTGGTGTTCGCTGTTTTTTTCTGAATCTTAGAAGAACATCTTGTGAGGGTGGCATTATACCCAGGCCTGCACGGGCACTGTCTTGAACCACGGGGACATCAGGGTCCCGGAGCTGCAGATCATAATGCCAGAGTGTCAATGCCAGGAACAGTTTAATCTCATAGACTGCGAAGAAACGGCCAGGGCACTCGCTAGCACCAGAACCAAACGGCATCAAAAAATTCCTTAGTCGTCGGCCAGATTTGAAGAAATTAGTCTTTGGTTGATCATTCTCATCCAGAAAGCGGTTGTATTTGAACTCCTAGGAAACAGAAGAACATTGTATTTGCAAGTTAAAGAATTAGTTTGGCTCTAAAATGTAAATGCTCTTATTAAATTGCTACACAAGTGTCCTTGGAGCTTTGTATGATTACAACTGAAACACATTAAATGTTTTGACAATGTTTCTTTTTAAATATCTCAGAGGGTAGGCGCAGTGGGTAGCACAATCGCCTTACAGCAAAAAGGTTGTTGATTCGAGCCTCCGCTGGGTCAGTTGGCATTTCTGTGTGGAGTTTGCATGTTCTCCCTGTGTTGGCGTGGGTTTCCTCCGGGTGTTCTGGTTTCCCCCACAAGTCCAAACACATGTGGTATTGGTGAATTGGGTAAGCTAAATTGTCCGTAGTGTATGTGTGTGGATGAGAGTGTATGGATCTCAGTGATGGGTTGTGGCTGGAAGGGCATCCGCTGCGTAAAACATGCTGGATAAGCTTGTGGTTCATTCTGCTGTGGTGATCCCAGATTAATAAAGGGACTAAGCCGAAAAGAAAATAAATGAATGAATGAATAAATGAACACCTCAGGCCTGTAGCTGTTTACTGGGGGTCAAAGAGCTCTCTGATTTCAACTAAAAGGTATTAATTTTTGTTTTAAAGATGAACAAATGTCTCAGGCAATTGGGATGACATGAAATAACCATTAAAATCCATGGCATATCAGATTTACTGCTGTTTAAAACGTACTGTTCAGTGCAAAACAAATCATTTTCATACGTCCATGCAATTAACCTTTTTAACAGACTGAAAAGTAATACATATTAAATGTATATATTGAGAACGCAAGAATGGATTTATTTAAAAGGTAGGTTATTGACAAAACGATGGTAGAACTTGTTTTGTATGAAACTACAGAAGAGACAAGCTATAAATAGGACAATTATCAACAATGTTTTTTTTATAAAGAGAGAGAGAGATGCTACTGGTCTAAATTGATTCAATGATTTATGCTAAACTAAGCTAAAAGCGCTCCACCACATATGCACATCGACTGAATGGATTATAAAATGGTAAAACTTAACTGTTTAACTCTGTGGGAGCCAATTTCATTCATTTATTTTCCTTTGGCTTAAGCATTTATTTTATCAGGGGTCACCACATCGAAATGAACCGCCAACTATTCCAGCATATGTTTTATGCAGCAGATGCCCTTCCAGCCACAACCCAGTAGAAACACTGACAAATTCTTGCATACACACAAACATTTAATATGGCTAATTAAGTTTACCCAATTCACCTATAGGCGACGCAGTGGCGCAGAAGGTAGTGCTGTTGCCTTACTGCAAGAAGGTCGCTGGTTCAAGCCTCGGCTGGGTCAGTTGGCGTTTCTGTGTGAAGTTTGCATGGTCTCCCTGCATTCGCGTGGGTTTCCTCTGGGTGCTCCGGTTATTCCCCACAGTCCAAAGACATGTGGTACAGGTAAATTGGGTAGGCTAAATTGTCCGTAGTGTATGAGAGTGAATGAGTGAGTATGGATGTTTTCCACAGATGGGTTGCAGCTGGAATGGCATCCGCTGTGTAAAACATGTGCTGGATAAGTTGGCGGTTAATTTCGCTGTGGTGACTCAGGATTAATAAAGGGACTAAGCCGAAAAGAAAATGAATGAATGAATGAATTTACCTATAGCGCATGTCTTTGGACTTGTAGGGGAAACTGGAGCACCTGGAGGAAACCAATACCAACACGGGGAGAACATGCAAACTCCACACAGAAATGTTAACTAGCCCTGCCGGGACTCAAACCGGCGACCTTCATTCTGTGAGGCAGCAGTGCTAACCACTGAGACACCATGCCACCATACAAAAATTTACATTTTGAAAGGGTACCACTGCAATGACAGCTTTTGTATCTTTATTTCTGAGAGTGAACAACAGAAATGGACACAAGTTTGTACACCTACTGTGGGGTTGGGGTAGATTTCAGGATCCAAGTGTAAGAGCTGAGGGTAGAGAGCAATGTAATCTCCTTTTCTTATAGCAGCTGTTTGATCGGACTCCAGTGTCAGAGTGAAGTCATCACTGGCAACACGTATCATCATGGAGGCACTAGACAGACGGAGAGCTTCCTCTATAATACTTTCTGAAAAAGTAGAAACATCACTTAGATATTACATGAACAATTAATTAAAATAATAATAAATGAAAACATTTTAAAACTAAAAACAAAAGTACATAAGCTAATTCTCTAATAAACATTAGACTAGATTACAAAAGAAAAAATGCTGTTGCTTATAATTAAACATACAACAAGAAGTGTCTTATTCTTTATCTAATATCACTGTTATTTAGCTTGAGAAACCAAAGGTTAATTTTGGTATTTTTGTTGAATCAAATTTAAAATCATCAGTTAAATATCATTCAGTTTCCCTGAATAATAAAGAGTCTTAATGGAGCCATCAATGTAAATAAATGACTTATTATTGACAGCTTGTTTCATTACTGAATAAACCAGCACTGATAAACAAATTGTGTGAATGATTTAGTGACTCATTCATAGAGTCACACCAATGCAACCACCAATTAACCACCCAGCCCTAGATGTGTTCATGTGTAATTATAGTGCATAAATACAAGATTTCATCTAGTAAAATAGCGTTACATATACTTTTAGAACGCATAATTACAACTTGTGAACAGGGACTTTTCTGAAAGCTACGACCTGTACCATGTGACAACTGCACATCATGTAGAACCAGAGAAAAATAGTGGCACTTCTATTAGTAAAATGTAATCTTTTGCCAGTGTAGATATCTGTATAAAAAAGTAATGTGGACATAAACAATAGACATATAGCAGTTTTAAATAAAAACGATAAAATTATGGTAATTATGACCTCACCTGAACTTGGCATGGCAGTAGATTAGATTGTTCATGTGTATTTATATAGGGCTAAAGCAAAACTCTGCAGAATAATTTCTTCAAGACTGAACTTGCCTGCCCATGATGTTTAGTGATTTATGTCTCAGATGTACTGCTATTAGGTCATTCTTGGTAAGTATGGTTTGAATGCAGAACAGGTCTCGGCTGGGGACCTGATCAAAATCACATGAGAAGATTTTCAGGAAAAAAAAAGTTTATTTGGTTACAAAGCTACGCTGGCAGAATACTAGCTGTAAAGAAATAAAGATGACCAGCAGTTATGTTTACAGGGTTTCTGCAGGATCGTAAAAAACTTAAAATGTAGTAAATCTGAAAATCCAAATTTAAGGCCTTAAAAAGTCTTAAATTTACAAAACAATTTGTATTGTAGGCCTTAAATCTCTTTTTAAACAGGTCTTAATTTTCCTTAGTTCATGTATTAGTACCCAATTTGGGCAAAACCCATCCAATCACCAACAGGCCATCTCAATAAAACTTGAAACTTTTTATTTAAAAAGGTAATTTTATAATTAAAATTAGAATTATGGTTTCATTATTTTCCTTACAGTAAGATTTGTTTAAAAGTTCTCCATGTATTTACTGCTGAGGACACTGACCTGGACAGACTGTTGTGCATAGATTTAGTTTATTATAGTTTCTAAAACTTTTAAAACATTTTTTTATTCTTTTTATATTAAAGAAAGTTTATGTTGGAAAAAGTAGGGCTTGCTTTTTTATTTACACAATATTTAACATTTTCTGCTAAGAAATAAAATAAAAAATATTGTAATTGTTTATTATTAAAGAATTGTTGTATTATTAAATGTATTTAATAATAATTTATTTTTTAATAGGTCTAGTAAAAATCTTTTCCATCTGGGTCATTCAAAAAATTCCTTAGCCTTTATCCCTTTATGAGTGTAAAATTTCATTTATAATAGTCTTAAAAATGTCTTTAAAAGTCTAACATTTAACTCAGTGGATATGTGGTTATGATTTACTCTACAGTACTTTTTATCTTTATTTGTGGTCTGAAGATGTGGTTCTGAATTAGTGTCAGATGTGGTTTTTCAAGACCTCTATCAGTTTTTTTTTATCCTCAAACTGCTCCTGTGTGTGCTAAAGGCAACCCTTAAGGAATATTTCTTCCTGTTATGTATAATTGTAAACAAAATGTGTATGTTATTTAAAGTTTTTGCTGAAGCAAATGATCAGACTTAATTGAAGATAACCAAAACTATTGTTTTTAAGTTGATTAAAGTTTTTTAGTGTGCGCTAGCAAAATAAAAATTCAGTTGAGAATGCTTTGGGTATTTATATTTAACTGTGAATTGCCTGAACTTCCTCATGGGCATGGTGCTGGAACGAACATACCTTGAGTAATCATAATGTGGATTAGTCCAGGATAAAACGGGAGTTCAGGATAAAACATAATTTAAACATGCTTTCAGGAATACCCCTAAAACACTGTTGGAAAACATTGATCTAAAAAATCACCTACCTAATACAGTCATAGAGTCCAACTGATCTTTAGAAAGGTAGACTGTTTGATCCTTGTTGTTTAATGATTGACCCAACAGAACCCTGTTGACTTCTGTGCGTGCAGCAGTGAAAGCGTCGACAGATCTAAAGGTCAATAAACATAAGTATATATACATGTACACACATATACACTTCAATTTACATTGCATTCATGTGCTCTGTGGTCGTAAACAGACAAGTCTATATACATAAATTATATATATATATAAATATATACAGTATGTATATAATATGTATATGTATATAATTTATGTGTTGAATATTTGAAGAAACAATACAAATTTTGAATTTTGGACATCCTACTTTCAAGATAGCATAATTAAATCTGGTATGAATTCCACATGTGCAAAACTCCTGATGGCTCAAAATGTTAAATTGTATAATCTGAGATGATTTTCAATACAATTATCAATATGCAAAAAAAAAAAAAAACAATGGTCAATCAAACATTCAGAAGGACAGCATAGTCTATAAAATGAGCACGATTTTTAGTTTACTTCATAGATCCTATGGTGAAACTATCAACTTCAAAGCAATGGAGCCACCAGTTGCCAGTTTAATGAAGGGAGCAGCATGACTATATTTTTTGAAAATTATATTAAATTAACCTTTAATCTTAAAAACGAAATTGAAAATTGCAGATGTCTACATGTTGACCTGGTTTTGAATAAACATGTCATCCATGTACAGTAAAAATAATAGTCAAAAGATCTTCAAAGATGACGAAGTAATTAACTTCAAATGTTTAAATGGAAGGGACCAATTACAGAGCCCTGTGTGACACCCGTACAGACAGGACCAACCTCCAATCTATAAGCATATTAAAGAGGTGGTCCGTAGCATATTTTTAAGGCTTGGTTGTGTTTATAAGATGCAAAGCAATGTGTGCTCATGCTTCATTTTTGAAAAGTCACGTTATTTTTTCATATACCTTATAAATGATTATATACTGCTACTGTCATGTTTTCTAGTTCCACTGAAAGCCCGCCCCCAAGAGGCTCTGATTGGTCAGCAAACATAATATGCTGTTTTTCGCTGATCTGCTCTACATCACCAGTAAAAGCGACATGTGCCTACAAGCATGCGCTTTTGCGCTGTGTAAATACTGTCAGAGTAGCTGTTATATCAGTTTGTGCCTGAATTAGACACAATATGATACAGAGGACACAGCTGAACCTCATGCCTGCTCTCTAAAATAAAATCTGACAAGTGTCTTTCACATATATCCAGTATCCACAAAAGTTTTTAGACAGCTTTATCTTTCTACATATGGATGCTACTAAATCTATGTTCTATTAGTCGCTAATAACAATTTTTGCTGTCAGTGATAAACACATTTCATAGAGAGTAATGCTGTTACATAATTTGATGTACATTTTGACATTGATTCACTGTCTACATTAATTATGTATCTATATGATGTGCCAACTTACTTCAGTGTGTAGTACAGGCTCCAGAAGGCTGCTGGCAGAGTATTAGCCTGTGATGCCCATAGCATGCACACGTGTGTTCGCGCTTTTCCAGTTTCGTCCAAAAGCATGCGGTCAAATATGTCCATTCTGCGCTGAATCAGATCTGAAATACATTTCCGCCGATGAAGTTCATCATGAAGTAGCTCCTCTGCTAAGGCTTCCCTTGCTCGCCATGCTTTTGTACACAGACCAATGGGAACTCCTGCAGCCAGTAGAGGGAATGCATGATCAAACACCAAAAAGTCTTGTGTTGCTTTTGGCATGGATATTCTGTTTCCTGACATGCCATGGTCCTGAAGAAATCCTATGTCTTCCTTTCCAAACAGAGTGAGAAAGCCTGCCTCAAACATGATGCGGTTGGTGAAACTCTGAAGACCTTCTTCAAGCCAGTCATGTTCATGAGGTAAACATCGCTCTAAAACTGTCTGCAGGTTGCACAACATGGACTGGGTTAAATGCTGCAGCGACGGACCTTGAAGTGTCTGTCGGAAAATGCTGTGAATTTCTCTGTAATTTCCACTCAACTGGGGAGAGTTGAAGTCAGCATGTCCAAAGACCTTAGATAGATAGACAGATTATTATAACACATACAAAAAAAATGGGTAAAACAATTAAAAGTATACATTTCATATGATATACTCTAACGATCAAAATCTTAAGGCCAGGGAAACAACTACAAGTATTCACATTTTGAGTGTTGGGGAGTAACTAGTTACATGTAACGCCGTTACGTAATTTAATTACAAAATAAAAGTAACAGTAATTAGTTACAATTACTAAGAAAAATATGTAATTAAATTACAGTTACTTTTGAAAATGTTAAAAATTACAAATGGGGTTACATCTAATATTTTTCTTTAAATCTCTGTGATATGTTGAATAATATTAATCTATTGCTTTGCCTGTTTTTGATATGCTTGATGGCTTCTGCTAAGGCCATTTATTCAAGCGCTGATGATTTTGATTTGCGGCGCAACCACGGGCGTAAATCCCGGGGGGAACATGTTCATTGTCCTCCTCACCAAATAAAATATATAAATATATATATATAAACACACTCTCGATTTTGAAAAATATATGTGTGTATACCTAAAATAACTGTCTAAGTAGAAAAAAAACGCATTTATTATTTAAAATGCATTTATAAAGAGTTCACCCCCGCTTCCTCATAGTGGTTTGATCCACCTACTCCTCAAGTACACGCAGCCTGTCACACACAGTCACAGACAGACGCAGAAGTTAGGTGTGTGGCTACAGGTCAATGTTGAATTTGAGTAAGTATGGTGTATTAATCACATTAAATAAATCGATTCTCTTCAAAGTTAATGCAGAATCATTTATAAATTAGTAGCGGCAAAAATGCAGATTACCGATGTCCATGAATCTGCTGTATTAGCGGTTAAAATTACTCATGTAGTTAACGTATGCTTGTTTAGCTTGTTGCATACGTTAGTGGCGCACTGCAAAATAATACGCCAAAGTGCATTGTTTCATTTGTGACGACTTGGCCTAATGTTAACTTTACATTAACGGCCACAATTATTGTATATCATATTGTTTATCTGTGGATTTGCTAAATGAGCACTGTGATACGTCCAAACTAGCCCCACTTTAATTTTTTGTATAATCAATTTCAGTTCTGTTCTTAGGTGACTAAATTAATTTAAAATATAAAATGTCCTTGTTTTTATTGTTGTGATGATTTTTATGATAGTTTTTCATTCTTAATGTAAAGCACTTTGAATTAGCATTGTATATAAAATGTGCTACAGAATAAACTTGCATTGCAGTCATGGACTAGATAAAATGATTGAGGTAAAGTTGGTTTTATATTCGCACATTCATTCAGTGACAGCTCCATACATTGTTTACCATGGTACTTTGAATATTTGAACTGAAATCTCATGCAAGTTTGACTTCAAAACTACATTAATAATAATAATACATTTTATTTGTATAGCACTTTTCCTACATACATGGAACTCAAGGCACTTCACAAACAACAAACAGGCATTGTAAAATAAACCAAATACAAAAAAATGTATATTAGACAATTAAAGCAAAATATATACTCAGATAAAAGCATACATGTACACGCATATATGCATACATCTACACAATCACACACAATATTCTTTACATACATGCACACACACCATACATGCATATGTACATAAACCTACACGATATAGATAAATTGCATAAACTTCACAAACTTATATTCATACGCAATTTTAAAAAGGTGCTTCTTAAGCTTTTTAAAAATAAATTCTGAGGGATTCTTTTACTTAATTTGGGAGACATCGCATCAGATTTACAAAGTGAAATTCTTAAAGTCGAGTGCTAGAAGAGCGTAGCAAACGGTTTGGATTATATTTTGATAGGCAGTCAGAAAAGTATGAAAGGTGTCATGTTGTGTAGTGCCTTATAAACTAATAAAAGAATCCTAAAATTTATTCTATTATTGCTGCTGTGATATGTTCTTGTGTCTTCAATTTCATTAAAACTCTGGCTGCTGTATTTTGTATCAGTTGCAACGTCTTTATAGAACCTTTAGGTAAACCAATATAATATAACACTAACTGTAAACAATGCTGTACTTTGATGGTTGTTGGCTGCTAATATAATTTTACTATTTAGAATTTTCAATGAATACTCTTCTGAGGTAATATTATGAGAGACTGAATGTGCAAATATAAAACCAACTTTACCTCAATGATAAAATGACAGAGAAAAGGAAAATGGACATAAGATAATTTTTCAGTGCAGCAAAACTCCAAGTACAAAAAGTTCACATATTAAGCAATTTGGCTTTCAGAATGAGTGCTTATGAAAATACTAATGTCACATTATCAATCACAGGCAGAGGAGAAAGAACTGATTGAGGGTCAGGCAGAGCAGGGTCAGTCAGATGTATAGTGTCAGGTAAGGGTGTTGTGCTTTATTGAAGGGATAATGACAATTCTTTTAGGGGTGAACAATTGTTTAAAATGTTTTCTGAGTTGTGGCTGTTTAGCAGATGAACCTCACAGGCTCGCCAATTTACAATATGATCTATCAATTTAACAAGTGTAATGTAAACCAGTTAGTTATTATGAGTATGGAAAATGTCTTTTCCTGCATTTGTTCGGCTTCAGGAGTCAGTCTGTTGACTGTAAACAACACAACAAACAATGCAATAAATAGTTTTCAAGAAAAATTTGCTTTGTCATTGAACCTGAGAAAAACTTTGAAAATAACCATAATGATGTAGTCTCCATGCTGTAATATGAACAATAAAACCATTTTTAACTGCGGAAACATATAAGTACAATTTGGCTGTATTATTTGTGTCCCCTTCAAAAAATCTTTAAAAAATTGCTCATAAGAAATGTTATATTTATTGTCCCCCCTACTGTTAAATCAAATTATGGCCATGGGCGCACCATGTCTAATCCTCCTTGCCACTGAAAAGCATGAGGAAGCATCTGCAGGTATGTAAGCTAGCGTTTCTTTGTTTTATAAAAGCAAATGTTTTTGTAGTTATCGTGAGTGTACATAAATAAAAACAGACCCTTTCATTTCTAATGATATATTATGATTTATAAAGTTATCGATTTGTGAATTTCAGGGCACCAGCAGACTCCTCTGGCCAAAGTGATGTTATCACATTACCAGTGTAGCTAGCTTAACTACATTTCTCAGTAGCGTGACGGTAGCGTCGCTAAAAAAATCAAATAGCTTTTCACAGTAGCGAAGCTATTTTATTAGTGAAGTAGCGCAGTAGTGTCCACACAAGCTACACTTACAGATCGCGGATCAATAGTGTTTTAAATGTGTAACACCTGGTTTAATTGGATTTTTTTGTTTTTGCTGTTATGTACTATAATTTATTCCTGTTTGGTACAGCATATTATTCACAGTAAATAATTTAAATTAACAGTTCTGCCTCATATGTTTCATTGGCAGTTTTATTGATCACTAAGATGTGATTGATTTGGATTTAAGTGGCTTCGATTTAAAAATGAAAATTTCAAAAATTAGATGTATTTTTTTATTGCAAATGCCACATAAATCACCTGCACAACTAACTAACATTGTGATTTTGTAACAACAGTAAACATGTTTTTGTGATAAGGTCTGGTTTTGTGGTGGCTCTACTTTAAATTTAAATAAATTAAATAAATTTTATTTAAGTGATGAAAGCTTTTGAGACTCTAACAGTAAACAGAGCTACTGTAAGCTCACTCCTGCTCTGTATAAATGGTTGAAAATTATTTAGTTGAAAATGTTTATTAGAAAATTAAAAGTAATCAAAAAGTAATCAAATGTAATTAGTTACTTTACTTTTATAAAGTAATCGAAAATTACAGTAACCTATTACATTTTAAATAGGGTAATTTGTAATCTGTAATCTATTACATTTCCAAAGTAACCTTCCCAACACTGCACATTTTGCACTGATGGATTGTAACCAGGTTGTAAGGGCTGCTTCAAAAGGCCAAAAGTAGAAACCGGAGCAAGTGATAAAAACAAAGCGCAGGCAATGTACTATAAAAACTGAATGTGTATTAAAACAGCTCTTCATCAACTGATCTATAGTTTAAAACCACAGACCAATAAAAGCCACAGCAGAACTAAAAGTGTCAAAAATAGATTCATTGTGAGTAGTTCCACCATCCTGGTTGATTACTTTGTTACATTGCATTCAAGACTTTTTCTTGCAGATGTGGTTTTACGGTTATTGGAATGATGTCAGCATCAGAAAGGGCCTTATTCTGGGTTGATATTTGGTCTTGATGGACAGCCCATCTCCTCCGGCTCGGTGAGGGTGAATCTTTTTAAGGGTCAACCACTTGACGTTTTTGTCCTATAACTGTCACAATTCAATTCAATTCAATTCAGCTTTATTTGTATAGCGCTTTTACAATGTAGATTGTGTCAAAGCAGCTTCACATAAATGGTCATAGTAACTGGAACAGTGTGGTTCAGGTTTTAGTGTTTAAGTTCAGTTCAGTTCAGTTTAGCTCAGTTCAGTGTGATTTAATCATTACTGAGAGTTCAAACACTGAAGAGCAAATTCATCGATGCGTAGCTCTACCAATCCTGAACCATGCGAGGCAGTGGCGACAGCGGAGAGGGAAAAAAAACTTCACCTGATGGGATCTTTTTAGAAATGTAAAATGACTGTCTTACTGCTTTTAAAGTTGACAGCAATGGTGTGTTGTGAGAAGCTTGCTTGTGCAGATCAGCAATCCTGCCACATTCAATAAGAGACATTCTTTTTGCCTTTGTCCTCATGAGGTCATGCCTTTGTGAATGCATGAAGGACAATGACATGAAAGCCATATTTTGTGCTAAGATCTTTACTTTTTAAAGATAAGGTCTTAAACTGTTGATCAAATTCATTCTTCGTCACTGGCTTCAGTTTCTTCTTTTGGCATTTTGAAGTAGTATTAATAACCTGGTTACCAGGGTCTGAGTTAGTGATTTGAGGGCCTTAAGTAAATCCAGATGTGGGGCTCAAAATTTGAAACTTAAAATTTTTTTTCACTGTAGAAATGTTTTTTTTTTTGTAAATAATTTTATTTAAAGCAATATTTAATATTTAAATGAACCTATATCTTCTTAATATACAATTAAATGCAATAAATTCACAAATGAATAAAACAAGTTCACTAACTATGTACAGTTAATTAGCCATTTTTGTGTTTAGATTTTAGTATTGTCAGTATTAATGGCCACTGTACTAGGTACAATGGCCAAAAGGGTACCAAAAAGGGAACCGTACCATACCACTTTTTGGGTACCCTTTGCAAAGGGTACCTAGCACGACAAAATGGTACCAAAACACGAAGCTAGACCAGCAGCTGAACACTATTGGTTTACAGAGATACGTCACTCGCTTGTGGATAAGCAGGAGAATGAAAACAAAGGAACCACCATTTTTAAAAACACAGCAGAGACATTACATTGTTATAATATATACATATATAATAACAAGACATGGTTGACCAGAGCTCAGACAAACCTTGTCGTTGTCTTGATGAACAGCCACAAAGCTAAGAAATAAGGCCTAAATGTATGCTGTGTGTAGTTTTTCTGTAATTGGTAACATATAGGAGACTGTAAGGGCCATATATGTGACATTTATTTATTGTTACAGTAGGCTATTTCGTACTCTTGTTAATCTGCAGGTATAATCAAATCATGTTCATAGAAAGGTTAGTAATGAACATTTATACACACGTATTTATGTATATACAGGATCTGTGTTGTGAGAAGTGCTTCTCATATGATATGTGAACAACCCCTAAAGCTTTACTCTGACCTCTCCTTAAGCGAAAATGACACTGTCTGAAACTTTTTGTCATACACCACACCCACAAAATTGGTACCAACTTTGGCCGTGGAAACACAAGCCTGATAAAGGTGACCCATACCGTACTGTATCACTCATGGCCCGTTTCCACTGTGGAAACGGGCCATAAGCGGCTACTTACTTGCAGGTTACAATCCACCAATGAAACATTTTAAAACTGTTTTTCACATGGTCTTAAGATTTAGATCAGGAGTGTATTTGTTTATGCATTTCATTTAAAATGAGTAACAGATATTTGCACAAAGATGGTTGACACCACAGAGTTTGATCTGACATTGATTAAATTGTCCCACTATTGTGATGTGCTATTCCAAATGCCAAAAAAACGATTTAGTGGAGTAATTAGGTTCAAATTAGTGGATTGAAAATCTCTTATTGAGTATGAGTTCCTCATATGCTTTCAGTCATCTTGATTTCTTGTTAATTTCCTGTAAGTATGAGTATAAAACCCTTTACAGTTTTGAACGATGTCTTACTCTTGTCAGTATTACTATCCTCAAATATTTTATTAATGTAGTGATATCTGTGAAATGCTTAGGGTCAGCTAGATATTACTGTGGCATTCACACTGTGTTGGGAAAATTAAGAGGTTTCAGTGGCTTCTGAATGCATTTGAGGGAATTGCCCGTACCATTCTCTCAGTGAGATACTGAGTGATCGAAAGAGAACACATGGTTACTTGTGTTACTCAGAGCAAGCTGTCTCACCAAGCTTCCCTTCTAGCACACAGGAAAAATGTGTTCTTTAGAATGTGATTTAAGTGAATCAAAGCGGTATCTAGGGATGGGCTTTTTATGATGATCTCCAATTGGTCTGTCCTTCCAACAGGTGTGCTATAGGTGCTTCCTTAGTCTGTCACACCCAGAGAACCACAGCTACATAATTAACTTCACATTTCCTTAAAATTTTCCCAGACGAGCTTTCAAAACAGAAACAACAAGAACAGATCTGTTGGCTGGAACAGCTTAACATGCAAATAAGAGCCTCAGATACAGTTTAAGTCTCTTTAGCCAAGCTTGTTTCTCCAAACTTCAAATAATGTCACTTACCCGTTGGGAAAAATTAATAGCAAACTTCTGAAAATCAAGGTTTTTCCCCTGCCGGACAACAGACGAGAATGAAAAGGGGTCTGTGACAAAGGTAAAGTACTTCCCAGCAATCAAACATGTGAAAACATTCCCATGTTTTTTCTGAGTCTCTGTTAAAAAGCCTAAAGGATTGGAGACATAATCCTTTGTGACACCAATGAAAGGCAGCCAGCCAGTCACCAGCGGAGGCTCCCCCGGTTTCCTGCAAACAAACACAGTAATAATGAGCATGGTCAGATTAAAAATCTCATACAGGACAATTTAGGACAATTTAAAAAATGTATAAGACGCCACGGTGGCTCAGTGGTTAGCACTGTGGCCTCACAGCAAGAAGGTCACTGGTTCGAGTCCTGGCTGGGTCAGTTGGTATTTCTGTGTTTGCATGTTCTCCCTGTGTTCGCGAGGGTTTCCTTCAGGTGCTCCAGTTTTCCCTGCAGTCCAAAGACATGTGCTACAGACGAATTTGGGTGAAGAAAATTGGCAGTGGTGTATATGAGTGTGTGTGACTGTGAGAGTGTATGGGTGTTTCCCAGTGCTGGGTTGTGGCTGAAAGGGTATCCACAGCATAAAACATTTGCTAGATAAGTTGGCGGTTCATTCCACTGTGGTGACCCTTAATAAATAAGGGACTGAGCTGAACGAAAATGAATGAATTAATAAATGTATAAACGACAGTCTGAGGAATGGACAAGACTGAATCCAGATCTTACAAAGGCGAGTGTTTTTTGTTTTGTTTTGTTTTTTGCTTTGTTTTTGAGAACATGCTGTTTGTGCAGTCTGCATTGTTAAATAGCAGAAAAAAATAATTAGATGTCGCTGACTTATTTTTTTTAAAGGTAAGTGCACTGTGAAAAAACTAAGTTGGCTCAGCTTAAATATATTTAAGGCAACAAACTTCAAAATGGGCGACAAGGTGGTGCAGTGAGTAGAACAATCACCTCACAGCAAGAAGGTCACAGGAGTTTGCATTTTCTCCTCATGTTCACTTGGGTTTCCCCCACAAGTCCAAAGACATGCGGTATTGGTGAATTGGATAAGCTAAATTGTCTGTAATGTATGTTTGTGATTGAGTGTGTACGGGTGTCTCCCATTGATGGGTTGCAGCTGGAGGGCCTCTGTGTATAACATGTGCTGGATAAGTTGGCGGTTCATTCCGCTGTGGCGACCTAGGATTAATAAAGGGACAAAGCCAAAAAGAAAATAAATGAATGAATGAAACTTCAGGACATTTTTGAGTTTTGAGCTCAAATTTTAACCCAATTACTGTACATGACTCGATTTAAGTTTTTATTTCATTCATTAATTTTCTTTTCAGCTTACTTTCTTTTTTTAATTCAGGGTTGCCACAACTAAATGAACCGCCAACTTATCCAGCACATGTTCCACGCAGCGGATGCCCTTCCAGCTACAACCTATCCATACACATCCATACACATTTATTCATGCTCATACACTACGGACATTTAGCATACCCAATTCACCTGTACCGCATGTCTTTGGACAGTGGGGGAAACTGGAGCAGCCGGAGGAAACCCACGCGAACGCAGAGAGAACATGCAAACTCCACATACTGTAGAAACACCATATTAGTACCTGAAAAGTACAAAAGTGTTCCTATTAAAATTTTGTAGGTACTAATATATTATTTTAAGGTACCAATATGGAGTCTTCAAGTACAAATGTGTACCTTTTGAAAAGGTACCACCCCAGTGACAGCTCGTGTACCTTTGTTTCTAAGAGTGTAGGCTAAATTGTCCGTAGTGTATGTGTGTGAATGAGAGTGTACGGATGTTTCCCAGAGATGGGTTGCAGCTGGAAGGACATCCTGCATAAAACGTGCTGGATAAATTGTCGATTCATTCTGCTCTGACAACCCGGATTAATCAAGGGACTAAGCCGAAAAGAAAATGAAAGAATGAATGAATATATTATAGTGTGTGTATGTGTGTGTCTGTGTAAGTGTTTTTGTGACATATCAGGACACAAATCTGTATAATGACATAGGAATGACACAGGTATTACAAAAAGGAGGTGAAATATGAGGACATTGGTGACGTCTTCGTTTCTCAAAAGGCTTATAAATCCCACAGGATGAGTTTAATCAGAGAGGAAAGCTGTACACAGTCTCTTGTGATGGTTGGGTTTAGGGATAGGGTAGGGTGAGGACAAAACAATATACGGTTTGGACAGTATAAAATGAATAGAAAACTTTGTAATGTACCCACTTTTCACAAAAACAAAAAACAGTTTCATTAAATAAATATATTTATTAAAACGAGATTCTGATCATTAAACATCTTTAGGAATAGATAGATAATTCATTTAAATTCAAACAAATTGTTGTAAAAAAAAAACATTACAAACAAAAAATATTTGTCTCGACTTTTCCTGTTTACTAAATTTTGTTTAATATTTATGCCCAGCATATTACAGTAAAGTGTGTACTAATTTTGGGGAGTTTTACCATTAGATTACTTCCAGTTTTGGCTTTAAAATTGTAATATATATGCACAAATATAATATTGTTAAGCATCCTATAAAGAACATACATTTAAAAGAGAGATCTATGAGAGGTGTACTCATTTATGTGGAGCATTGTATGTATATATGAATATTAAAACGATTGAAATAAAATAACATTTGAATTACAATACAAAGTACACTAAAATACTTTTCAAAACAATGTTAAAACTAAAATTCACCAGGGATCTACTGTATATACTACATACATGATAGTTTCCATGTAACTAACATTAATAATTGTTATATACGTGTACTACGTGCCGTTATAAGAGATCTGCACTATAGTTATTAAAATGAAAATGAGTAAAAATGAATCATAAGAGGCAAGTTAATCACCGAGAGTTCATCTTACCTTTTCCGTGTGTGACCGCATATCCACACAATAAAAAGCGTTAGGAGAATCGCGGCAACGGTGAAAAGAAAGGTAGACATTTCAGACTGTGCACCTACGTGAAGACCTTTTACCAGAACTACTTTTTGATAGCTGTGTGTTTCTGGACCTCGAGCTTCTTAAAGGCTCGCCCCAGAGCGCTTGACGCAACACACTAACTCACGCTTTCGCTATCCAAAGGGATCCTCCGCGCTTCCGGGGAGTTTTCCCACACACAGTAGCCTACATTGCTTATGGTATTTATTTATTTATTTATTTATTTATTGGTATTTTCTTATAGAATTTGGGGATTTACATGACCAAGGATTAGGAACAAAACACGACAAAAACATTTTGCAATATGTAGGAAGCTTCATTTTTTATTATTAAAATATACGTTATAGGTAAACTTTAGACACTTCACGTGAGACTTAAGTTATTTTGTCCACAAAAAAAATTTAACAACATAAAATCTGAAATTACTTGGTTCGTTTCTATTGATTCTATCATTGCACATTTAATGCCCAGAGCCATTTATATTTATTTTTAAGTTATATAATTCAACGCACTATATTAGATTTATTATAAAATAGTACATATTATAAATGTACACTATTATACTAGGACTCAAAAAATCTTCACAATATGCTGTAGCAATCCCGTTGAGTAAGAAGCAGTTTCAGACATTTCCTGAGCGACATTATGAAATAACAGCTGCAAATCTTTGTGAATGTGATACACATATTCTTTTGTGGCTAACTGTAATTAAAATGAATATAAAACTATTTAATATAATAATAAATGCATAAATAAATCCCAACCTCACCAAAGTATAGGTAGATCTCAATCAATTAGAATGTCATTCTAATGTAAAAAGTTGATTAATTTCACTAATTCTATTCAAAATTGAAACTCATAATATATAGATTAATTATGCTGAAATGTATATATTTGAAGTGTTTATTTCTTTTAATTTTGATGATTTTGACTCACAGCTAATGAAATCTAAATATTCAGTATCTCAGACCAAAAAAAAGATTTTAACACAGAAATGTTGTACTGCTGAACATGAACATGTAAAACACTGAATACTTGGTCTGGGCTTTGTTTTTGCATGAATTACTTCATCAATGTGATTTGGCAGGTGATTCATCTATGGCACTGCATGCTGAGGTGTTATGAGCGTCATTGCTCTGAAAAAAAGCCCTTTAGTTGTGCTGAGGTGTTCGGTCTGGTGTCTTGCATCTTTGCAATATCTCATATGCCCTATATGTTTTGGGTCTAGAGTGAGTTTGCTGCCCAATCGACTACAGGCATACAATAGTCCTTAAACCAGGTATTAGTAGTGCTTAGTGTGTGCACATGTGCCACTTTTATAAATATCCACTGTTTACATTTTATGCCATCTTTTTGAGTCTAGTAACAGTGAAGATAAAATGGATACAATTTTTAACATGTTGGTATTTTTTAAAATAAAACTTTGTAATTCATATTTAATATGATCAAATAAATCATAATTGTTGATACCTGTAAATTTACCACAGATTTCTCAATGAATATAGGTCATAAATTTTAATAAAAAAAAAACACACATTTATTAACAAGATATTACAGTTTTTCTCAATTGCTTTGACACATTTTTTAAAACAGACTTAACTCTCTCTAAACTGTAAGGGCAAATCTCAAAACTGCTGGAACTTCAGAACTTTATGGCATGTCTGCGAAATGTAGTTAGTCCCCAAAAACATGTAATTTATGCTTCAAAACCAAGTTATTGTGTCAGAAATTTGGCCAAGGCCACAGAACATTGAGCGTATTTGTTAACAGTTAATGCAGTTCTCACAACAAACAGTACAAACTGCAAAACCCATTTGACAACCAGCAAAAGTGTGTCACTTGCTATCAACTAGGTTTTGCAGTTTGTACTAATTGTTTTGAGAAATGCATTAACTGTTGTGCAAATGTAAATAGTGTTGTAAATGCACTAAAGCTACTGAGAAAAACTGTAATCTACAATTGGTAAATTTCTCGCAGGTGAATTTTGGAGATTGTATTATGTTCACACACTTTAGTTTTTTTTTCTTTGTGCTTTGCAGTGCTCTCTTTTCCTTTCTGTATCACAATTACATGATCTGCCAACAAATTACAGTAGAAAGAGCAAAAATAAATAATTAAAAATCAGACTAATTTTACATCAGAACACCCCTCCAAAGTACACAGTTATATTGACAACATGAGGGTGTCTTATTCATACACAATGACACAAGGACTTGTCATTCTGATGACACCGATCTATCTATTGACACAGAAATTTAGTTTTGAGAGATGAATGAAGGATTTTGAGCAAAAGTTTTGTATGTGTTGTTTTGAAAAGTGAATTTACTGCTGTGCAAATTTCAATTCTGATCTGAGAATTTCAAATCTGATCTGTACCACATCAAGAAAAACAGTAAAAAACAATGTCAATATCACATATTTATGGTGTAAATGTGTGAATGCAAATGTTTGGTAAGTGAATAAACAGTTTAAGTGTGAAGATACACTATGGACAATTTAGCCTACCCAATAATCTTGTGCTGCATGTCCGACTGTGGGGGAAACCGGAGCACCCAGAGGAATTTATATATATAAATATATATGAGCAATATCACACGAGTAGCAGTGCGATATGGCTGTATATCTGCACTGGTGGGAGGCGTGCGTTGGTGCGAGATATACTGCTACGTGTGTGATATTGCATTTATACAACAGTTTGATGGCATAATTGTGTATATAAAAACAAAATCAACAATGGAGAGTCTCAAAAACCCTTTTGTATGAGGAACTACTTTCTTCCGCGTTGGATTCAAATCATAAGCTGACAATTAAACAGCTGAGCAAGCATCTTTTAAAATTTAGATATGTAGTGTCTGCTTTTTGCTGGTTGTATGTGGGCGGAGTAATACACAAAGGGTAAAGAGGCTTTACGGGTGCTGATATTACTTACTATCAGCCAATCAGATTCAAGAATATATATACAGCGGCGTAGCGCAAAATGCGGAGGCCCCCCTGCAGGGATCGCTGACGGGGCCCCCTGATGAGGGTGGGGGGGGGGGGGGGGGGATACGTCATACGGCCATTTGCATATCACTGACGTCATCACGTTCTACCGTTTCTGTTTAACAGCCTATGGTTAATAAAGGGGTATTTATAATTGCACTACACTTTATATAAGCATGTTTATTTAACTAAATTTATTGCTGTTTGAATACAGTATATCATTACAGATGTGTAACGTTAGTGTATGTGCAGTAATCTCTCATATGAAATAAACTCAGACAAGTTCAGAAACTGTCACTAAAATATCTGTGATTGTGAACAAGAAAAGAATAAACGGTCCAATTAAATTGTTAAAATAAAGTAGAAGTAGATCGGTTTGACTGTACAAGGGAAATACCTTCACACTGCCTGTGCTAAATCATTTGTCGTCGGTACGCAGAGGGGTGATCTGCTCTCGGGCTGCAGGTGGGAGAGGCTGCTGTAGAGGACTGACTGGGCCGCCTGTCAGTGCTGTGAGGCGGGGGAGGGGCCGGCGGCATCACACGCAGCGCGTTGAGAAGAGTAGGGACGCTACAGTATGGAAAAATGACAGTCTAAAAAAATCTCCAATAACACACAAAAAAGTCGCTAGGGGGGTCTGAAAAGTCGCTAAATCTAGTGACAAAGTCGCTAAGTTGGCAACATTGGCGGCAAGCAATCAGAATGAAGTAGTCCACCGCTTGAGAGGTGTTCAGAGAACACAGACGTGTGAACTTTGGTTGCGACCACAGTTGTTCCCAACAGTTTATTGAAAATCGCGACGACGCGGGGCCCCCTAATCACGTGGGCACCCCCCCGCGGTGCGTGCCCTGCGGGCCCGTCCGCTACGCCACTGTATATATATATATATATATATATATATATATATATATATATATATATATATATATATATATATATATATATATATATACACACACAGTATTTCATGATTTTTCCTTTTTATTAAAAAAAGTCTAATTTTTAATATTTCCTTGAATATAATATTTTGTGTAGTATTTTTGGGCTGTTATCATAAGTTATTTTGTTAGATTTGCTCCAGATTTGGCTCCAGTACTGCCTAAACTAATGTATATACACAAATATAATATTGTTTAGTGTCTTATAGAAAATATTAATTTATAAGATACATTTTTGAAGGGTGTACTTAAATATGCTGAGCACTGTTTATATTTGTTCTTTTATTTTTATTGTTCTTTTTATTTATTGTTCTGTAATTTTTTTCATTACAGGGAGACATCTAATATAAAGGAAATATAGAAGATCGTAACTCCAGAGTACACTGTTATATTGACAACATGACTAAGTAATTTGACTGACTTATATGACACAATGAATCAAGGACAAATCATTCTGATGGCACTGTTCATTGACACAGATATTTATTTTTGAGAGATAAACTAAGGATTTTAAGCAAGAGACTGTCTTTTTTAGGTAATCCATGATGTTTGGCTAGTTGTATGTGTCTGAGTGCAGACCTCAGTTTATCAACATTGTGCTGTAGCAATATCTTTTGAGTAAGAGGCAGTTAGTGGTCAGGTTTTAGACATTTCCTGAGAAGTATTAAGAAAAAACTGTTTAAATCAGTAATTTTGTAACACATCATGCATCAAAGTAAGCTACTGTATTTTAATAGTTTTCTAAAATTTACGATACTAAAATATTTCAATAAATGAGTATGGCATTTCTTTGGAGACATTTTATTATTTGGTTAATTTGATCTATCTCTTGACTCAGTTGAATAAGTAAATATTGTTTGATAGCTGCAGCATTTCTGTGCTCACATCATGCAATAAATCTGACATATGCAACATGCAACCAGTTTTCATATCAATGGAATGCTAAATTATGATCTTAGATATCCATACCTGCCTCATCTTGTCTCAATGTCATTTTGGCCCAATGTTCTGACTCCTCATTCTGCTCTGGCTCTGCTCCAACATAAATAGGATGGATCCATATAAAAGATGCAGCTTGTGTTCTTTATTGCGTATATATTTTCCATACAGAATATACTTTCTTCGAGGTCAAGAGAAACTCACATAAAAATCAGATTTATTGCAATATATAAAAATTACATGAAATGCAAGTTCATATTATATACAATTGAAGTCAG